TAATTAATATAATTAATTAAATTTAATTAGAAATTGTAATTGTCAAAAAATTATAACTTATATAAAATAAGAGAAATATAATCTAATTTCTCTTATGTATAAAAATTATAAAACATTGTCTACAGTCCTTGTAAGTTTTTATATTAGTTATATTCTGGATTAAATAATGTTTTATTCACATATGACATTAATATATGATCTTTCTCTGTTGATGAATGTTTCATCTAATGTAAAATTTATAAAAGTAATGCATTCTTTTGCTTATATGTAAATTTTTAATCTATTTTATATAGAAACGAACAATTATTTATTATGACATCGTCACAATGCTAGGCTGCAATTTTTAATCATTTTTAATTTATTTCATTTAAAAAGTGGATGCTCTATCTCAAATTAGTATTGCAGTGTTCTACCCCCATACATTATATTTTTCCATTAGCAATGGAGTCATCTATTAACTTATTTCAGAAGAAAAGTTTTGAATTGAAACAACATGACTTCTGGTTTGCATTGGAAGTTAATATATAGTTAATCAGGGCCTCCTAATCCTAAGGTTTCCATATTTGGTATTCTCTTTCATTTATCTAACTCCATTCTCGAGATTAAAGAAAGCCAGATGGATGACAGTAGGAATTTATAGGTCTACAATTTTTTCAAATTGTAGCCCAATGAGGATATTTACATAATTCAAATTGGTCAAAAATAATAATATATCAGATTCAAAACACAAACATATGATCAAAACTTTACAATTATATTTTATGTAGTTATTTTCTTTAACAAATTACTGTATTTACAATTTTTTAATACAGTTGAATGTTTTTTTAATTTGAATAACAAGGAAAATCAAGGAAAGTTTAAATTATCAAAAATCAGATTTGTTTTTGAAGAATCAGTTTTATATTTGCTTGTAGTATTTGATATTATTCTATATTGTTTGATGATATCACACTTTCACTTTACTTTTATCCCACTCCTGTAACTTCTTCAACTTTGTAAACTTGTAGTTTACTAAAAGTATTCCAAAAAAGATAGTAACCATGTATTATTAATTTTTTTTTTTTTGAATTTTGTATTTGAAATACTAACTTCAAATTATTCAATTTTATACTAAAAAAAAATAAAACAAAGCTAAAATAGCAATACTTGTGGAATATAATCACTTACAGGGCCCTTAGTCTCGAGTTTTTCATGTTACAACTCACAACATGTTGAAGGTGTCTTATGGTACCATCTCACACTCTGTTGTGAAATTGGTAGTCTTGAGTTATGACTCTCATGCTTTCCCATCTCACCAGTGAGTTGATACTCAAGTTGAGTTGAGCATGTGAGATCGCTACACGAAAATGAAAATGGCTGACAGTTACGCTATTCTGATCGCAATCGAAGTGTTAGAAGGAACCGAAAGAGTTGTTCAAGAAGGCAACGAATTTTTTGACCACGAGTAAATACCATTTCTTTTCATGTCAAGTTAACACTAATGAAAAGAATTTTAATTTATAATTGATAAAATTATACAGCAAATTTTTTCCAAAAATAAAAAGAAGTATCTAATTCATTGAAAAAAAGAATTAAAATGATAGTAAATTATATATGTAAATTATTAAGAACATAGACACTATATTAAGATTATTTATTAATCAGAAGTGTTAAGTTCTAATTAATAAATAATCTTAATAAACAAAACAATTTAATAAATAGATCAAGGAAAAAAACTATATGAAAAAAGGATTAAATTAAAATACTTTTTCCATTACATAATGGATTTTTTGGCTCCAATACACAATTAATTTTTCAACTAATTCTCTCCACAAATCGAATTGTCTTTTTCTTGTAAATTTGTTGTCGAATTTTCCACTGTTCATTTTCTTATTATTTTCTATATATGTTACTAATGCTTTTTTTTTGTTCTTTGTTTCTTTTTTTAAAGTAAAACATTGGAGGTTACATTTTGCTATAAGACAAAACTTTTAAATATAACACGTGTAAACTAATTCACATGGATTTGTTTACAACTTGTTACAGTAAAGTTGATTGGTTGAATCATTATAGTCGCAAACCCAGATGCGTTGTAAATAATCCCATCATGCTTAATGACAGACGTAAACAAGTGAATATGATCTACTTTCGCTCAACTTTTGAGTTCGTTCGATTGGTCTAATTCGAGACTACCAATTATGTGAGTCATAGTAACACAAGAGGGTTCAATGACGTCAATTCCAATACAACACGAAAAACTCTAGACTAAGGGCCCTGGTATCCCTTAATGCAGGATGTGATTAACGTGCAAAATTAATTGTAGCAATTCCCTTTTTATACACAGCAGAAATTTTACTTAATGCAGCTTTAAAGCTGTCTTTACTTAACATAGATATGTTTTTCTTGGCGTATAAGGTGTTAGTGAATTTGCTATTTTTATTAACCGAAAATTTGTTCTAGTGAGTGGTGATTGTTCGGTCAAGTACTGAGATACCACTGTACTTGATTAATGTGATTTTGTTATACATCAAAATATAAGTATGCCTTGATTAACATGGTTAATTAAGGCATACCTATATATTGCCTTGAAAAGGTCAAATAAAGCAAAGTTATGTTCTTTAAATCTGATATTCACCTGAAGTCAAGAATCACTTAGAAGACAGTTTTAATTATAGATCTTATTCTTGAAGATCTGTGAATTAAAATTGTCTTCTGAGTGATTCTTGACCTCAGACGAACACCGAATTTGAAGACATAACAAATTTGTTTTATTCATCCAAAATTTTTTTTTGTGGCTATAAAAAAAATTACTTGTGTTTTTATATGTAATATATGGTTTAAATATGAATTTTAAGGGAAACAATGGCAGATATGAATTATCTAATAATTCAAAGAAACTAACTTTGAATTAACCATATTCAACTGTATTTATCATATAAAATGCATTACTTAGAGAAATTATTAGAAATAATCCAATAATGACTATTACAATGGCTACAATAATGATCCAAGAAATGCAAAACTCCAGAAAGTCATCTAATGAAATTTGTTTTAAATGTAAATGATGAGAAAGTGTAAACATTTTTATAGCTATTTTTTTGTCTTGTCTGAAGTCAAATGAAAGTTCTCTGGACAACTTTCATTTATATTTAATTTACAATATGCATTTTGACTTCAATATAAAAAATTTTCTCAAAGAAAAAAAAATTTATATTTATATTTTAAAAATTCAGAAAGTAAAAGCATTATAAATGAAAATAAGATCATCTTTCGATAATTTATATTTTGATTTTATTGTTTATTGAGTAATGCCACATGTAAGGAAATTAATAAAAACATATAATTTGTAATGAAAGTCTATCATTAATCAGAGGATGAACTATAAATTTAATTTTTTGAAATTTAAATTTCTTTATTAGCATTTAACACATCATTTATACTTATAAGTGAAATAAATATAATTGATTTTATATATCTAAATATATAAATTGTGTGTGTCCTCTAGTACTAATTGTTGAAAATTAAATAATACAAGACAATATATATTTATCAAATTGTTTAAACTCTTCTGTAAAAAATGTTTTTAAATTTGTTTGAAAGATTTTTTCTTAAGAATTTTAACATTTGCTTATTAATATCAATTGAATATTTCAATTTATATTAGTAAGCAAATGTTTAACCTTCACAAACTCTCAAGATTTTAAAATTATGTCAAGGAATTTCTCAATGATAAACTTTTTGACAATATGAAATTGAAAAAAATCTATTTGATAAAAATTATTGCTATGCAATTGAAATTCTCATTAAGAAAATCATTACTGATTTGTGTGTAAATATGACATGTTTATCTAAAATGTTTCTTCTGTTTATATATTATATACCTATAGTTTTATTTTTGAGTAGAGTATATAATAATCATTACAAGGCTGTGTATATTAGGGTTTGGGGGTTTAATCCTTTCCATTTGATGATTAAACAGAGAAATATTACTCTGTTAGCAAAACATTATTTTGCATATAACTTGTTTATTTTGTACTTGCTCTGTACCTTTTTAAACTACTGTATTGTGTTACTCTATATTTATTTTGTAAGAATTACTTAACTATGTTATGAACATGTTTGTCAAGAATGTTTCCTCTATTTTTATATTTATACCTACAGTTTTATTTTTGAGTAGAGTATAGTATAATATAATCATTACAAGTTTATAAAAAAATAATAAAAGGTAACGTTTAAAAAAAAACTTTTTTTTAAAACTCCACTTTTTGAAAAATCTTGTATATGTAAATGAATCATTATGATTATAAGCAAATTTATTGGCAATTTATTTATTTAATTATCAAAATTATTATTTGCAATTTATAGAAAAGTAGTAATTTTTGGAAATAGTAATCTAATGCAAAATATTATAATTTATAAATGCTTTTTTTATATTATCTAATTGTTTATAATAAATTTAATTTTTAAATCAGTGCATTACTTAATTGAAAAATTAAACATGTATATTGTTATAAAGTAAAAATTAAAATTGTGTTATCATTAATTAAAGTAGATTTCAGTCAATTTATTAATAAATAATTTTATTCATTTAAACATCTTAATGTATAGATTTTTTTTCTAATAGTTTTATATTTTCATAGCACATCAATGATATGGCTTACAACATTGATTTGGAGGAAACATTATGTTGTGCTGAAGGAATATATTTACAGTTAAGTCAATGCAAACAGTTGACACAGAGTGTACAAGACATTCTGGGAATTCATGTGTCTTTGCCCCCTGAGTCTGAAAACACTGTAATTGTGCCTGGAATCAAGGCTACACCTCCCTCCTCTCTTGCTGCTGGTGATGGACCTGTACAGCCTTTGATACATAGTGCAGGACAAGGAAAAGCAAACACCAGTCCTCCTAGTGGAAGTAGCAGCATTGAAGTCCTGTCAGATGATGTTGACTTAGAATCAAAGTTTCAGTTAGCAGTTGACTTGAACACATGATTATGAAATTAACAATAATGGTTTTAAAATAATGAGACAACTTGGAGAAAACTGTATTGCAAATCTTGCTTATTTTATATTTAATTTAAAAAACTTGAATATTTTTAGTTATATCTAAGACAGATTGGCTGGTAATGCCTGTCAAAATGCCTAGATTTGTAAATTTTGTAGAATGTAATTCAACAATTTTTAAAACTTAAATAAGGAAACAAAATGCAATATATTTGATGAAAATGCTATCTCTTTGCAAGTTGTTTTGGTTGCCTCTTGAGTATGAAGCAAATGCTCAGAGAAATCAAAATGACAGTTGTGCAAATTTATACATTTTTATCACCAATTGTATAAACTCCATAATTAATTAAGTGAGCATTTGTACATATACACATATAATATTAATAATATTAAATTTGAGAGTTTGATGAATATTTTGATTCTTCTTTTGTTTGTTCATTAATATAATTATTACACATTTAGAAAAACCTTAAAAATTTTATTGTATAAAATAGTTATTATTTAGTATGACTACATTCTAAAAATTTGTTATAAAAAATGTATAATGTATAATATATAATATATATATATATATATACACACATATATTTATTTTTTTAGTTCAAAGCATATATTTTTTTTATCAATATTTTTCAAATAAATAGTAAAAAGAATGATTTGTACATTTCAATATTTTTTAACTAGCTCTTATTTATTTTAGTTACCATATTACACAAGAATTATAAGTAGAAAATGGCATAATAGTTTCATTATTTTATGATTTATACTTTTGTAAACAAAAGTAAGTGGCAATTAATTCATGCTTTGTATGTTTATTTTAATTAATGAAAAGTGTATTTGTAATATCAAATTTCTTAAATAGTTGTTTTATATTAATTTGATTTTTAAAAATTTTCCCAATGAAATTTTTAAATAATAATTTAACAAGTTAATAAAAATACTTCATTTAATACAGAAAATAAAAAATTATATTATTTAATTTGAAAGTTTAATTAAAAATAGAAAGAAATCATATAAATTTTTATTTATTTTGTTATTGAAATAACAAAATGAACAAATTTCCTATACATATTTAAGATATTTTATTTAATAATACAGACAATGACAATTTTATTAAAATAATTGAAAAACAAAAATTAATGACTGTTTATTTCAATATCATGTATTTTTATGCTGTTGGAACATAAACTGTGGATAATCATTTTAATAGAATATAAATGAATTTTGGAAAAATGTAGCATTAACAACATTATAATTTATGCAGTTTTTATATTATTATTATTATTACATACATACTAGAGTTTAGATAAAGTTTTCATGTTTATGCTAAAGCATACTTACATATTTTTGGCATACAGGATGCATCATTTTGTAACACACACTAATAATCTTACTTTAAAATATTTTGGGTAAAACAGTTTTATGTATATCAAAAATGATTGTAGAGTAATAATATAGGAAAGTATAATTTATGCATATAAATATAAAATATATTTTAAAGAATAAAGAAATCATAAATTTATCATAATAGTAATTATAAAGCAGACAACAATTATATTAATGTTTAACTTCCCAGGTGAATACAAATACACTTATTGGCAAAAAAGATTACTCTCCAGATAAAATTGTCCAATTACTGCAAAACTCTGCATACAGCTATATCTCAGGTAGGTATCAAATGATTACAGTTGTGGTTTGATTATATGCCATATAATGCTACCAGAGTGCCTTAAATTGCTATCCTGTAAAAGAGCTTGCAGGGATGCACTGTTTTTATAATTTTCATGTACAGTATCTGTTGTTTGATGATATTCCTGTATGATTCAATCTAGATATTAGGCATAGCTGATGGGTTTGAGCATCATCAAGCTGAGGGAAGCAGTATGGCCATTTTGCAAAATTTTTCTTTGGATCAGAAAAGCCCAGAGCCTTTCTGACCCGAATGAAATGATGATGATGGGGTAGTGGATTTTCAATAGTGCTTTGACAAGCAATCTATCATTTTTTAGTAACAAATTACAGTTCTATTTGGAAATGGAGGACCACTGATGAATGCTCAGTCCTCTTTACTGTTGAACAGCCTACCAGCAGTTGAAATTGGTCATTCCTAGGTGCAAGGGACATTGACAACTCAGAAATATTGCATGTATTACTTTTCCTAGCAGATTCTGTACAGCCAAACCTAAGCTGTGAGTGACTAATGCTTAGCCACTCACAGCTTAGGTTTACTAGGAATGTCTCCATCACATTGCCACTGTTCTTTGCTCTTCTGTCTTCAGATTTTGTTGCCTTTTGAGCACTGGTGGGTCCAGATAGGACACTAGGCCATCTGGAGAGAGAGAGATCTGGAGCATCAATTACAACATCTACAACATCTACAGAGTACTAAAGGTTCTTTTAAATTATATGGTTTTTCCATACAAATTGACCCTTTGCACTAATAAAGTTTTATTTGAATCCAATGCCTCTTCTTTGGTGCAGTTTTTTGTCAATGAATACATTTTTTTTGTAAGTAATGATTGAAATCTAAATACTATGTTACTTTTAATGTTACATTAAAATCCAAATATGCTCTAGTTTTCATTGTTTTATCAGTGTTGCATAATTATAAAAAGTATTTAGTTTTCTAAAGTTTTTGGCAATTTATGTAAATGATAAATAATAGTACTGACTGCAAATTTCTGCTAATTCTGAATAATAATGAATCCTAAATAACTGTATTAGTTAATATATAAAAAAATTTATTTTCAAGAAATACCTTTTAAGTTTATTGATATCTTTATAAAGTTATAAGTTAGTTTGAAAAAAATTTTGTTTTATTTAGTAAGGAAGAAACATCAATTATCTCTCTCTTTTTCTATTTAATCCAGCAAGTGGAATATGAACTTCAAGAGTTTCTATTGCTATTATGTATGTACTGTAGTACATTAAACATTACATAAGTGACTTTTTTTTTAGCTGAAGATCTACATATAACCTTTATGGATTATATATGTATATAATATTTATTCTGATGTTGATATCACTACATTTAGTCAGTCAAATATGAATATATTATGAATGTCCAGTGAAGGATCTTATACTTTGTAAACACTGAATAGCACTTATGTGCACTCTGTGTAAGATTTATTTCTTATTTAATTTTAAGCAGTTTTGTTATTGATTAGAAAAATTACAGAATTTCAGGAAAACATCTAAGATAAAAATATATTTTAAATGCAGCAAATTTTGAATGATTTTTGTAACTTTCCAGTTTTCTTTAATTTTGTAACTGAGAACACTACCGAACATGATTTTAATCTTAGGGAAATAAAGATGTTTCTTATCGTTTTTGATGCCTATATTTTGAAAATCAATAAGAAAATGTCACATTACATCAGTTTTCAAATATTGAATCACTTATTATATCAGGTATCTGTGCATTTATCAATGTAAAGTAGAAGATGTAACACCAATATTAAGAATTAATATCACAAGAAGCAGCTTACTTTCAATGATATAAATGTAAAGTTGATATCCTGCATTCCTATATTGAACATATTATTTAAAATACTTTAAATTGGAACTTAGCTTCACTGCTAGGTTTTGGAACAATTTGTTGAAATTCCTCTGACAAATGCTTAAATAAATCTTCATTTATACTTGTCAAATTAAGTTTATCTCCAGAATTAGAAAGAATCTATATCATCCAGACAGAATACAGTAATTTTTGCTATTTGAAATGCCAGGTATAGTAGGTATAGTTAGCCAAAGTAAGAATCTGCCTTCATTGACTTGTTAATGGCCAGAAAGGCAAGTGATACATCTTTAAACTTGTTTTTTTTTTTTTAATTTATCCTATTTTCAAATAGATATAAATAAATATTAATATGAGTAAAAGTCATATTTGAAGCAAGGTTTTTGATATATGCAGAATCAAAATGGTCTGGACTCCATGTAATTTTAGATGCAGGTCATATGAATTTAGAACAATAAATCAGTCCACTGTCTAGACATCAGATTATTACTTAACAAAGGCAAATCTACACCAGTATATTATTAAACCAACCAATTTAATATTATTTATATTAAACCAACTACCTTTTACACATTTTGATCTCATTTGATCTACTTTGTTAGCATACAGAGCACTGATTTAAATATGCCCACACTCATTGCATATCTATCGAAGACAGGATTGCAGAACTAGCTTGAATTAAAAAATAGCAACATTGTTGGGATACAACAAGTTATTTCTCAATCTCATCGATTCTCATCATGTAGGTAAATGAAGTGCCTTCAATAAAAGCTTCACTAAATTTATATTTGTTATGACTGACCTCTTTGAAGTTAGTTACTATTGAATTGACTAGAGCAAAGAAGTCAAGAATATTTTATAAAAGAAAAACAACTATTTACAGAATCTTGAGAAACAATAAAGACAAAGTCCTAGAAATGTACAGAACCAGTGTCTACAGTATCTCCACTAAGTTGGACAATAAAGGACTGCAAACAGCCTGCATCAGATATATCAGCAGAAACTTAGAACAGAGACTACAAACATAAGTATGATGCCCATAATAAATGCAACAATACAGCTTTAACATATTTACCATGTTAACACTCAAGATCAAACTGAAATTCTACAGGAGGCGGCCAGGGTTATTGTTGTTTCTCTGCCATCTCAGGCTTTTCTGATGGAATGGATTGAAATATTAAAGCAGAAAGTGTCTGGTGGTTTCCTAAAGATGTACACACTTGCTATTTCTCTCTCTTTCTCTCAAAAATGTGCCTTGATCAATAATTCTAACGTACATAAGCTTTTTGCTCTCTTTATCTTATTTATTTTTATTTTGCTTTTTATCATCCTAATAATTATTTTATTATTATTATTAGTTATTCTATTAATTGGTTTAGAATTTAAAATTTCTCTTGTAGTTGGAAATGTCAAATTTTGGAACTTGTTTGGAACAGCTGTTAAAACAAAATCCTAATAAATTAGACTGAAAACATTAGATACAAATAATATTTGTAAGTTTAACAGCATTGTAAACAGTTACAATGTGTTTATTGAAGTACAGTAATACCTCGACTTACACGAACCCGGAGTTATGCGATTTTCAAATCTCGTTGATTGATCTTTTGTTTGAGCATCACACAACTATTGATTACTCATTCCCCCACACTATTGTTCAGCTTACATGTTTGGACATGTCGCATGGAATCCACACATAGCTACAATTTATTTTGTGTTATTTATTTCTGTATTTGTTATATCTACGGAGACTTGAGAGACTCTATGTAGTGATTTCTTGTAACCATGAACAAATCAAAAGACAAGATAAGATTAACAATAACATTTATTAGCTTACATACATCCGACTTGGATTTTACACAAATTGCGAAATTATACCCCAACTTACGCG